ATTTCCTTAAAACAAATTCACCTTATATGGGTGTTTGTTACCCATAATACAGTAGCATTAAGTGACTCTTCTAGGTCACACAAACCCTCACTGACCTAGAAAATACCTTGGTTGCTGCAAGAGGCGGCAGAAGAAGCAGCGTCGTAAGAGAGGAAGAGATTGATTTCGTTTTATTCGGTGTCTCTGAATCAGTCACATAGGTGTTGTATTTATACTACACAACTAATTTATAACCCGTGGGAACCACGGTTACAAAATAAATTAAATTTTCATAGTAAAAATTCAAAAATTATTTATCAATTATATTAAATAAATCATTAGTTATAAGATATACCAAATTTTTAAAGTTATTATAACTTTAAATTTAACATATAATTAGAAAAAGTAAATTTGAATTTTAAAGTGTTGCCTAATATATATCTTTCACTTGTGGCATAAGATTAATGAAAAGTTGTATTAGAGTGACACATGTCAAATGGAGATTAAAACTATTGTTTTATTATAATATGGAGATGTAACTGATGTGATTAATATGAAATCGTAATTGTCACAATTAAATAAGACATTTAAGCAAGAAATCAAAACCAAATTCTATGATTAATGGCTCTCAATTTATATTTGTAAACGTTAAACAAAAATAACACAAATGAAAAAGGCCATTGAACTTTTCTAGTTGACCGGTGGGGCATTCATACCCCATATGATGTGCGCATGTACACACAAATTAAATAAGACATTTAAGCAAGAAATCAAAACCAAATTCTATGATTAATGGCTCTCAATTCATATTTGTAAACGTTAAACAAAAATAACACAAATGAAAAAGGCCATTGAACTTTTCTAGTTGACCGGTGGGGCATTCATACCCCATATGATGGGCATTCAGTGAACCCAAGCCAAACCGGCTCGAATGTGAACCCCCCCCCCCCCTGCGTATGCGTCTAAGAGAGAGCCTTGGTTCCTTAAGTCTTACAAAGTTAGCTAAACTTTATAGTTATAAACAAATTTTCTTCTCGAACTCCCACCAATGTGGGATGATTCATTTTTAATGTGTTTTCGACATATTATATATAAACACGAAGGTGTCATGGAGGAGAACACAAATTTGTCCCTTTTGATTATATCTAAAATTCGAAAATCATGCTTAAAAATAGGAAAACCCCACTTTTGGAAATCGGTGACACCAATTTTCTAAGAGAAAATTGTGACTATTTAGGTTATTTTCCATTTTTGTGGGTATTTTATGGTAAAATCTTTAATAATTGGCTATTCTAGTCATTTTCTCTTTAAATATTAGATCATTTTTAGTAAACTAAACAATGCCTTGAAAATATTTTAAATTTTCATATTTCTTTTATCGCAAGTAGAATATAAGCATTTTTCTATAAAACCCAACACTTCTTTATTTTTATAAATATTTTCAATAATGGAAACGTTTTGAAAAATAATATCTACTCCTTGTAACTTATAGCTTTTAATATATGCATTTATGAATAAAACATTTTCTTGTCACTCATCCAGACGGTGAGCAACTCGGGCGATCGTTCAGGGCCCATCTCTAAGAGGGCAAAAAATTAAGGATATATATATATATATATATATATATATATATATATATACTTAAATGATTTTTAAGGTTTAAAGTTGATTAAACCTCAAACTAGCATAAAAGATAAACAATTCCGTTTGTTTGTTATTGCTAATTATATGCGTTTATAGTGAAGAATAAATGATATTTTTTTGAATCTTTATGATATTTATCTTTAAAGGGTCATTTTTTTTCTTCTCTCCTCGGGCTCCATATACGTTTGGACCGGCCCTGCCTATAGCAGCCAAATTAGGGACGTAATTAAATAGAAGACGTTTTGAATGTAGAATCAAAAGCCATTACATATGAATTATGATACTGTGGACGCATTTGACTCAAACTTGAAGGTCCACGGTTGAATTCCTCTTCATCATTTACAAGTTGGCTTTTATAATTCTTATCCAATGCCATTTTTTGATTTTTCCAAACTTATTAATATAAGAGATTACATGTATTGATTTTTTAATGTCTTGTTTAAAAGGGCATTGGTTCCTTAAAAAAGAAAATCTTGAAAATTAACTGCTCATATTACTTAGTTTTAGATTGTACTTTTTAACCCTTTTAATGGTATTTATGATTTAATTTGACATTATTGAAAATTATTTAATTGTGAATTTGTCTTTATTAGCTTTGAATTGTAGGTGCTAACATTGTTAAATTGCCTATGTCCCCCAAAATATAAGGAGCGGCCTTGATCGGCACTTTAAATTTCTAAAGGAATAATTTGAATATTTCATTTTAAAGGACGCTACATATGAAAACACCGTAAAACACAAACAAGTATGGATTATTTTCTTTGTCGTGATATTAGGGTATTATTGTTAACTAATATTTATACTTGCTAAAAATGAAGAAGATATGAAAACAACTCGAAAGAGATTAACAAGTGTGAATTATTTGATAACCATCATATTTAGATATTGTGGCAAAACCAATCATTATACTTGCTAAAATTCGAAAAGACAATCATGATTTACAAAGTAATATATCTTAAATAAATAGTTGTTTTGTTATAAAAATATAGGGAAAATGACCTTTGAGGGTAATAAAGTGTTCTATAAGTACTTATTTGGTCCTTTATCTTTTTTTTTTGTCTTTATTATACCACTGTACTCACTAATCATGTTCACCAAAACCCTTGATACCGGTTGTTGTAGGTTACTAGTTATGTGGATATTACGTGGCATTATGTGCGATAAATTGGGCTTATTAATTGCAAAGTTGCAGTATTGCATCGTTCTTGCCCTAGATCGATATGGATGCTTCTTCTTCTTCTTCTTCTTCTTCTTCTATTTCTTCCAAATGAAATGCTGAATTTCAACCTGAAAATCCTTGTTACTGTGGGTTACCATCTCGTGTACGAACTTCACGAACTAAAGACAATCCAGGAAAAAAATTCAGATTGTGCCCTAACTCCATGGTAAAACAAATATTTTTTACTTTACGTTTAATCTTCTTTACGAACCAAATGTTTTTTACTTTCGTTTAATCATCTTTCTTTAACCAATTTGTTACTTTTTTCAAGAATGAAGGACCAAAATGCAAGTTCTGGGAATGGTTGGAGCCTAAAACCCCTGAAAATGAAGTCAATTCTGCGAAGGACAAAAAAGAACTGTGCAATTTAACCCTCAAAGTTTCTATATTGGAAAACGAGATCAACATTTGTAAGATGAAGATGGAACAAGAAAACTTGGTTGTTAGACAAGAGTTTGAAAAACTCAAATGGAAGTTATTTACTCATAAAGTTGTGATGATTGTGTTGTTTTTGTTGTTTGTGTTTAAGAAGTAGTTAGTTTAGCTGTATTCAAAGACTAAATGTAATCCTTAATGTTGTAATTTGTTTGATGTATTAAGACTAAATCTCTTTGATTAATGATAGTTTGATGTTTTGAGTGCTTTCCAAGAAGTATTAATGTGTTTAACATGTTAGTGAATTGGACATGATGCATGGGTAAAATGGTCCATATTAAAGTTGGCAGTAATTAATTGTTAATGTCTTGATGTGATCCAAGGGTAAAATGGTCAAGATTAACCACATTGGATACATCAAACATTTCTTAATGTATTAAGACTAAATATTGCCATTAATCAATTGTTAATGTCTTGATGTGATCCAAGGGTAAAATGGTCCAGATTAACCACATTGGATACATCAAACATTTCTTAATGTATTAAAACTAAATATTAGCATTAATTAATTGTTAATGTTTTGATGTGATCCAAGGGTAAAATGGTCCAGATTAAATTTGGCAGTAATCAATTGTTAATGTCTTGATGTGATCCAAGGGTAAAATGGTACAGATTAAATTTGGTAGTAATCAATTGTTAATGTGTTGATGTGATCCAAGGGTAAAATGGTCCAGATTAACAACAACAATAACATCAAACATTGCTTAATGTATTAATACTAAATCCACTTGATTTATGATAGATAATATAAGATTAAACAATCTATATGCAAATAACCGTACACCAAAGCATATAGATAAAAGATAAAGGTGTAATATTCCATCAGCATGTGCACTATTACAAAAGTAGTGCCCATAGTTGTCCTAATATGTCAAAAGATGTGCCATGTGCCATGATTCTTAAAGTTTTCCCAATTACATAATTACAAGACTAAAAGTTTGTCTTTCCAAAAAAAAAACATAAAAATATTCCAACACCATTGGGTTGTGTCCAGTGCTTCCTTCTTTCTTCAAAACCTTCCTCCTCAACCCTATCTTGGTAATTATTTATGAGTATTTTTGTATCCTCTTCCTAGTTGCAACTGGTTGAGCAGGGACATCAACATTTGGATGTGGATCATCTACTTAAACTGGTTCAGCATGTGGAGATGGATCATCAACTGGTTCAACATGTGGTACTTGAACTGCATCCACTGGATCTGCTTGAATTGGTTCAACATTTAGAGCTGGTACTTGAACTGGATCCACTGGATCTGCTTGAACTGGTTCAACATGTGGAGTTGGTACTTGAACTGGATCCACTGGATCTGCTTGAACTGGATCCACTTGAACCGGTTCCACTTTACCTGCTATACAAATATGTAGTTAATGAGTTGGATGTTCCATTTAAATTATATTGTTTTAATAGCATACCTTTCTCTTTTTACATTTTTTAGGTTTCTTGTTTTTTGGCCTTGAAGTGGATGCTACATCTGCTGGTCTAGTAGGACATGTTGATCTATTATGGCCCCTTTCTCTACAAATAGTGCATTTATTAACTGAACCTGCTTTTGAGATAGTATGCCTTCTTTTCCTCTTGCTTTCCATCTCAGATTGATCCTTTTTCCTTTTAAGGGTTGGCCTTCCTAGTAACCTTCTTTTTTGAGGAGGCAATAGCTTCATGTAGGGAGCTTCAGGCCACATGGAACTACCATTAAGTGGATTAATGGTATGGTTGTAACAAGTCAAGAACATGGTTGTATGGAACCATGGTGCAACATAATCCTCTGCATTCCTGTTAAGGTATTAAATGGCTGCCACTGCATGCACACATGGGATACCTGATACTTGCCAAGATCTACATCCACATGTGTTGTTGTTAAGGTCCACAGCATATCCCTCATTTCCAATCCTAACCTCATCTTTTTGTACCCCAGAAGGTATAACTCCCAAAATCTGTCCACAAAAATAACAAATTCTATTAATCTACTAGATGACATATTAATACATATAAATTACAAGTTATATCATACCTTTGCTGTTTCTTTAACTTTGATATCTTTAATCTTATAGATGGGAATATTTTTAAATTACACCAACTTTGTCCCTCTAGCAGCATTCTATACATCCTCTCCATTGCATAAATCTGAATCTCTTCCAACATGGTGAGGAGTGGTCTCTTCCTAGCAAGATCAATAACAGAGTTGAAACTTTCTAATATGCCATTCTCATAAGCATCACAAGCCCTGTCCACTTTAAAGAATGCCCTGCACCAACTTTTAGGGTCCCTTTCCATGAGGTGTTCATAAGCAAAAGGATCAATTGTTTTTATGGAATTCATTTCTGCCTCAAATTTAGGTTGATTAGTACTTGCAGCAGCTGCCCAAAACAACTTCCTATATTGTTCACCTTTGAATCTTTTCTTGAAGTTAGCATAGATGTGCCTAGCACATTGTCTATGCTCTGCTGCTGGAACTCTTTCTTTGACAGCCTTTACCAATCCCTAAAAGAAACGAGAAATGGATGACATAACAAAAAACATTGAACTCAAACAAAACATAAAAGAAAATATATCTTGTGTTGGTCTGATATGAGGGTCAATCCTGTTGGATTAGTGTCTAAGTCCATAACTATTTTGGTATGTACTTGACCCGATGGTGCATGGTCCTTTTGGGTTGCCTTCACCAAAGCAACTTGATAGGATGAATTATGGAGAGAAATGATTAAATATGATTTATTAATATATTATGAGAATAATATATTAAAAGAGAAATCATATTGTTTAATTAATATTAGTCAAGAATTAATTAGTAATTAGTTTTGTGACTAAAAGAGATTAATTAAACTTAAGGGACTGGAATTGTAATTATAAGATAATTGCAATTTGGGCTATGGATTGTTTCAAATTAAGGAGTGGACAAATTCTATGGGGAAGCCCATAAGGAAATCGTCCAAGGCCTTAATTAAAGGAGTCAATGGGTTGCTTAGGGCTTAAGCATCCAAATTAGGGTTTCCTTGTTAGATAACCCTAATAGCCTCAATATATATAGAACCCTTATGACCCAAAAACGTGGGTAAGCTTTGTTCTAGGGTTTCACATGTTTTTGGGCAGCCTCCATCCTCTCTCCTCTTCATCCTCTTCCTTATGGTGTTTGTGAACCATTAGAGGAGTGACATTTGTGACTCTAAGCTTTCTAAAGTCAATACAAGGAGATTTGGGATTGTTATTGCTACATAACAATCAAGGTATGATCTTAAACCTATTCTCATGATAGTATGATTTCTTGAATGCTAGAATTAGGGTTTATAATATTGGATAACTTGCATATACAATAGAGAAACCTAATATCCGAGCATTAGGGTTTGTATGATCACATAGGATGTTCTTATGACCAAAAACCCATCAGTGGTATCAGAGCCTAGATTGGTTTCTATTGTATTGATGCCTTGTATGTTGAAAAAGTTTGATTTTTGTGGTTCTGCATGATGGACTCGGCGAGTCCCACTGTGGACTCGGCGAGTTGCCCCCTACTCGGCGAGTTCGAGCGTCAGATGGAGCTATTTTCGGGATTTCTTGCTGTTTATCTTTGAGATACTTGCCTTTATCATATTAGATCAATATAAATCCGATTTTATGATATATATGAGTATATTCTTGATCTAATTGAAGATATTTATCAATTAATAAAATATTTGTTTCCTTTTGTGATAATTGATTAATTATTTTGATTAAATTGGTAAATTGTTTTGCAAGAAATCATTAAATATATCAAATATGGATAATTATGTGATTAAATGTTAATTTAGATTATTTGTTACTTGATCCTTGTTATGAAAAGTTTCATATTTTCCCCTTTAGATTTTATAGTTTAAATTTGAACCCAAAAGTTTTGTTGTTTTGAAATTTAAATGGTTGGAACCCTTATGTTTTGAGAAAGGTTTCAAAACTTGCCCTCAAGTTTTGGAATTTAAATTTTGATTAAAAGTTTAAGTTTGATGTATGTTTAAATTCTAAACCCTAATGTTTTGAAATGTTTCAAAACTTGCCCTCAAGTTTTGGAATTTAAAAGTTGATTAAAGGTTTAATTAGGAATGTTAAATTCTAAAACCCTAGTATTGTTTTGAAAAGTTCAAATCACATCCTTATGGTTTTATTAGTTAATTAAGGTGTATAATTAAAAAAGAGGTTTAATAAATCCATAAAAGTTTAGGTTTACAATTTAATTGAATTAAAAGTATAATTGTTAAATTTGACCACCTAGTATTTTAAAAGTGTAAAATACACCCTATACTATATATAACATTAAAAGTCTAACATTATATATATATGTATGAGTAAAAGTCAGTCTTACCGTTAGTAGGCCTCATTCACGAAGCTGGTCTATAAGGGGTGTTTAAGGAAATTGCCTATAATATGGCGATTGAATGGGTATCCACTCTTACCCACCGCACTCTTGACTAGTGGAGGGTCGTTAGCCGAACGGGTAGGATAGGACGAAACCTTCCATTATAAGTATAATGAAATACAAAAGTAACTAAATGTTTTTTTTACAAATTCCCAATCTTAGTTACTTAGGCAAAGTGAATTGATGCAATTCCATGAAATTACACTTTGTGCGCTTGCGAAGACGTTAGTGGAGCGTGTGTGGTTTACCGGCACACTAAATGGTTCTAAGCAAAGGTAGTAAAGGGTGACTCAATGTTTGTCATAGTTCGGTGGAGCGTGTGTGGTTTACCAGAACATCGAATAGGTGACTGTAACATGTGAGGGCACCATGTAAGTTTGCATGGTTATTCACACCCGCTTTGTGATCCTCGGCATCCCAGTCACAAACTAGAGGGGCGTATCGAGATTTAAGCATGCCATTGAAATGTTCAATGAATCTCAAAGGATCTAGGAGTTTTCATAGATTTAAAACTTAAATTTCTTTTTTGTTTTTCATGGTGGAAATTAGTGAATCGTCATTCACTTACCTTCAAATATTTTGCAACTAGATTACGTCATCCCTTTTCTAGGTTGTAGCGTATTGTGTTGGGTCCTAGCCTTAGTATCTCATTTGGGTGATTTACTAAGGACTCAATCAATCAACTAACTTGAATTAGTTTTCTCCTGTTTTGTAGATGTCAAAGTTCGACAACTATGGTCTTCCCAAATCCCATGGAACAAGCATTCCACATGAAGATGGTATTCCAAGATTCGATCGAGGAACAAGAAATCATGCTTCACTTCCTCCACCTCTTCCAATTGTTCTCCCTAACCCACAAGATCGAAGAATTGAAAGGTTCAACATCACTAAAGCCCTATTGGAAATGAAACATGAAGATGGTAAACCCGTGTGTGCCCACGTTCTAGGAATGAAATCACACATTGATAGGTTGATAATGTTGGGTGTGTCATTCCCAAATGAGTTAGCTGTAAATTGGGTTTTGCAGTCACTTCCTGAATCATATAATGAGTTCAAAAGAAAGTCTTATATGATGGATCATGACGACAACCTCACTGACCTAACTTACATGCTCATTGCTGCTGAATTAGAAATGATTTGGCGAAGCAATGGAGCGTATTTGTTGGGAAAGTCAACCGAACATGCTTCCGAGGACGTTCTAAGAGAAGCGACTTGCGTTTGCTGCCAAGAGAAAGGGCGTTGGATAGAAGTCTGCCCCAAGAGCCTAAAAATTCCAAAGGTGGGAGAGTCAAAGAGTATGACTGCACTTCAGGTAAAATCCACTATCTAACTTCGATAAGTTCCTATTCATTGATTCAAAATACATAATGTGATAAGATTGCATTTGAATGTTTTTGTAGGATCGGTGAAAAGAAAGGAAGCTTGGTGAAAAAGCAATATGAATCTAATCACAAGAAATGGATCTTGATCGCATGGACTTGAAGATTAGATTTTGAGCTTAGATAGTTATGATAGAGTTGTTAGAAATTTTCTTTTTGAAATACATAGTTTTCACTGGATTTTGCATTGTAAGGACAAATGTTTTCCGCTGCTTTTATAAATAAAATAAATTTTGGTTTGACTTATTTATTTATTTGTTTACTTCCTTGCAATGAAATCGTTATGAAAAATTGATGTTTTCATATTTCTACAACGAATGGATATGATTCTTGTTTATGTTATTTATGGAAATGTCAAGAATTTACCAAATAGGGAGAGTTTCTCATCGCCCAAATTTCAATCGGACAGAAATTTGGAATCACGCAACTTGGTTGCATGATGAATGAGAAATTTCATGTTTGGAAATTAGACTAATTCGTTGACAAAGTGTCAAGTGAAAGGACTAAGAGATCGAGCACACAAAGTTGTGTGTTGATCAAAGTCTACCACAAGAATAACAAAGATATTCGTCATGATTTACTAAAGGTTTAGTAAATATGATTATACTTATAAGATTAAGTGTAATTATGAATTGATTGAAAAAAGTTTAAATCAATAGCAGCACGAATAAGAAGAATCAAGTAGGCAGAAAGATAAAAGTTTCTCCATCCTAAGAAGAAGGGAGAGTACCTTTTATGCTTTATGATAGGTCTTAATGATTAAGAACCATATCTTAATTGATACTCTAAGTGAGTCTTAGCACAATTGTATGTCTAAGAAGAGAAATCAAGAATTAAAGAAATGGTTAAATCAAAAGGTCAATCATACTTCGTTCCAACAACAAGTCTTAATGTTAAGATTGTAACAATGAGTGAAAAGTATTAAGAAGGTTTATAACATTCATAAAATGTGGAAAGTTGTGATGTCTTGGATAAGACAAAGGCCAACTAGGACCAATTTATGAAGTGTTTTGATAAAAGCTACACTAACTCTTGAATATTTGTTTTGTCAAGAAATGGTTATTGACAAGAGAATCTTATATGTCAAGGAGTCAATGGGAGTCTTAATGGTCTTGAAAGGTTTCTAGAACAAATCAAATAAACCTTATTGATCATCACTAGCGCACGAGTTGAGGTTTACAACTTATCGTGTTGACATTATTTTGTTTATGTGTTGTTTCCAATTGAGTTAATTATGCATGTGAGTTCTATGAATTATGCATGTAAGTTCTATGAGTTCTCATTTTGAACGCATAAAAGGCAAGGCACCTAGATCAATGAAAGCTACATTGATAGGAAAAGGTGAGCTGCTTAACTACTTGGAAGACGTGGTGGGCAGTTGTGCTACCATAAGGCAAGAAAGCAAGATTAAGAAAGTTCGCTCCATATGAGTTTGAATTTGTCGTAAACTTTGGTTTTAACAAATTCACATGGATAGGAACACATACACCATTTAAATCTAAGTGTCATAAGATTTCTTCCCTCATGAAAATGATTGTGAGGAAATGCTTTCACTAAGAAAGATTTTAAGAAGATAGTGATTGTAAAATTGCATTCTCGAATTTGATTATGGTTACGGTATCCCTTTCCATGATTTGAATTGTGAGGTTTGGTAATTAGTCTTAATTGTTTAGACACACATATAAGCTATCTAAGGCAAAGGTGTATAAGTTTAAGAGGCCTTGATAAAAGATTATCAAAGCATTAAGTATTAGAAACATGGACTTAAGAAATTCAATAGGCATTGTTTTTCTAAAAGTTAAGCTGTTTCTGAATACATGTCAAAGCTAGTGGGAGCATAAGTGTTATGTTTTATAATAATCATCATGATAGTAGGAGAATAAATGTTATGATTGTATGATTATTAAGGCACGTATTGCAAGTTGGCAATATTAATTATAGAAAACAAGAGTTATATGTTGCAAAGTCGTAAGGATTGTAAAGTTGTTTTGCTATAATTAAGGGAGAGAATATTATGCTTCGTTTCAAATCTAAAGGCTTAGGTTGAGAAATGTTAATAAATTTAGTCAAAGGTACATAGTGTGTTCTTAAAATTTCGATTATGATTACGGCATTCCTCTTCACAATTCGAATTTTGAGAACATATCAAATAAAACATTATGCATCGTGTCCCATACGCTTCGGGTATATGATCGATTGCAAATGCTTTAATATTTGACCATTCTAAAATTTTCCAAATGTCTAGCGCATTTAGAGGGAAAAAGGACTAGAATCGGTTTTGACTAAAATAATTAAACAACTATCAAAGGACAATCCAAAGTTCGACGAGGATTGGTTGCTTATGAGTAGTTGGAAGCATGGTATTGAATGGACCATATCGACATTATTATGAATAGAAAAGATTCTATTAATAAGTTGTCATTTGGAAAATATGGAAATGTTTCCATATTGGATGGACCATATTGATATTATTACGAATAGATAAGATTCTATTAAGAGTGAGTTGTCATATGGAAAATATGGAAGCGTGTCCATATTGGGAATTGAATATTGAAATCTATGTCTATATTAGAATCTTTTATGCAAAAGGATCGTTGCATAAAATGTTAGAATCTAGCATATTCTATAAGTGACAAGAATTGATATTCTCACATTTATAAAATGGATTAGGAGTTGTGAAATGAGAATGATTGGAAATGTGTTCAATTTGATCTATTTCACAAAGTAAGAACTATAGGTAAACATTGTGTACATGCTAGGAGCATGGGACAAGTGTAATAATTCAAGTAAGAAGTTGATTACCCGAAACGACAAATAATGAGTAATTGATATGGTGATAAATACAAGGAGTTTTATTTATACTCAAAGATTGAGGCCATATGGGATTAGTATTATTCTTGTGTTTCACTTTGCATGTTTTGACTTCCTAAATAATTTAATTGGTTAAGAACAGTAAAATTATTCGAACAGGCCACAGTCGTTCATATGTTGGAAGTAGATATGAATGAAGACTGTCGTGAATTGGTGTGTGGATTGTCTAAAGAGCATTAGACATAAGCAAATGTTTGTTGCAACGTTCATGAGTGCTTATGAATATGAATTTGAGCATTGGATTAAACCCACGCTCACTTGGATCACTCCATGAATTGTATCACAAGTGATTGGTGACGATAACATCTTATATTCTTGAAACCGAGATGTGTGAGTTGTATCTTGCAAATCAGTTGCACATTGATAATATGTAAACGCACCAGTAACTTGGTGTCATAAAACATATTATTGTGTGTGATTCGGTGAGTGAGTACAAGCAAGCATTGTATCAAAGTTTATTCGTTCCTTTTATCTAAAGTAGGATAAAAGCGATATCTTTGGGCCCCTCGATGATTTAGTGATGACAAACGTAAATGCTCGGTCGGGCTACGGCTAATTTGATTTGTTCAATTAGTCAGTCGTCATAAATTGAAGATCGAGAAATAGTACAAAGAGAATGATTAGAAATCATGTCTTAAGATATCTAGAATGGAGGAATTTATGATCCATTATCTAAAGGACACGCGTATCTGATAGGATCAGAGTTGACAGCGGCTTTGGAAAGCTACGATTGCAGATCAGGATCTGAAGTCACACGCAGAATAATTATTAGACTTATCCAAGTGGGAGACTGTTGGATTAGTGTCTAAGTCCATAACTATTTTGGTATGTACTTGACCCGATGGTGCATGGTCCTTTTGGGTTGCCTTCACCAAAGCAACTTGATAGGATGAATTATGGAGAGAAATGATTAAATATGATTTATTAATATATTATGAGAATAATATATTAAAAGAGAAATCATATTATTTAATTAACATTAGTCAAGAATTAATTAGTAATTAGTTTTGTGACTAAAAGAGATTAATTAAACTTAAGGGACTGGAATTGTAATTATAAGATAATTGCAATTTGGGCTATGGATTGAGGAGTGGACGAATTCTATGGGGAAGCCCATAAGTAAATCGTCTAAGGCCTTAATTAAAGGAGTCTATGGGTTGCTTAGGGCTTAAGCATCTAAATTAGGGTTTCCTTGTTAGATAACCCTAATAGCCTCACTATATATAGAACCCTTATGACCCAAAAACGTGGCTAAGCTTGTTCTAGGGTTTCACATGTTTTTGGGCAGCCTCCATCCTCTCTCATCTTCATCCTCTTGCTTATGGTGTTTGTGAACCATTAGAGGAGTGACATTTGTGACTCTAAGCTTTCTAAAGTCAATACAAGGAGATTTGGGATTGTTATTGCTACATAACAATCAAGGTATGATATTAAACCTATTCTCATGATAATATGATTGCTTGAATGCTAGAATTAGGGTTTATAATATTGGATAACTTGCATGTACAATAGAGAAACCTAGATCCGAGCATTAGGGTTTGTATGAGCACATAGGATGTTCTTATGACCAAAAACCCATCAAATCCATGACCAATTCCCATTTCAATATCATATAGTAGGAGGTCAAGAAACCACTTCCATGTTTCCTTATTTTCTACTGCCACCACAACCCATGCAATAGGGAAGATGTGGTTGTTTGCATCCCTACCCATAGCTGCTAACAGTTGGCCTCTACATATACCCTTTAAAAAACAACCATCTACCCCTATTACCCTCCTACATGCTGCAATCCAACCATCCTTCACACCCTTAAAACAAACATACATTTTAGAAAAGTAAGTGGTGGAATCAGGCATGACATCCACATCTATCTTTACTGTTGAACCAGGATTTGTCCTCATTATTTATTCACCATAACTCCATACTTTACCATAATGTTCTATCAAGCTACCCTCTATCTCATCCAAAGCATATCTCCTAGCATTTCTACATTGAGTCACATTAACAATCAAGTTAAACTTTGTACTCACTTTGGCTTTCATTTTCCTTATGCTCATTTTGGGGTTCTTCAAAAGTTGATTTTTAAAATGTTTTCCAATCCATTTATATGTTACAATGGAACCAAGTTTGAAGACTCTTGAACAGTTATGGTCATCAACTAAGGACTTAATCTGGAAAGACCTTTCACTACTCATCCAGGAAACCCACAATCTAAAAGGACAAGAGGGGTTCTTGCTATCTTTACAACATCTCACTAATAACCTCTGACTATCATTTTTCTCATAATAAAGATTGTACCCATTCTTCACTGCATAGTTAGTCAAACAAATTTTCAATTCCATAGGGTTAGAGAATCTCATACCTAGAATTGGCACCATTTTGTCCCATTTCTGGTTCTCATTATGGACAGGGTACACTGGTTTGTCATCCCCATTGTTGGTTTTAACCTCATCAGTTTCAAGCTCATCATTTTTATCCTTAGAAGTACCCGACACCCGGTGTAAGAATTCATCACCAACAGTTTTGTCAAGAGAAGGAATGTAACCATCTGCTTCATGCTCATATGGAATATCATCAGAAAGTTGTGACTCTTTATCATCATCCACATCTGGCTCAGAATAATGCCCTTCATCATCTTCTACTACTTCCATATCAGTCCAATCAAGTACAGGTTCATTTTCGTGGTCTATATACACATTCATTGTTAGACCAACTTCATCACTATAACCCGTTTCAATAAACTCATAGTAGTCAGCATCATTCCCAATTCTCCTAATACCCTATGCCAATGGTTCATTTCTAGTGCAATAATATACATTATCACAACTGCCTTCAATCAACTTTTCAATGAACAACTTAAAATCTTTGAGATCCATTGCACCAAAATCAACATCAGCGATTGAAACAACAACAGAGTTCAAGTAACTAATGGTTTTAGTGCGAATAAACCATTATAATGTACATAAACTGTCAAATACTTACGAAGTTTGGAATCGGAGGCCATCTTCTTCACTATAACACTCGCATTCACCACTTCTCTTCGATTTCATAACTGTATTCTTCGATTAAACCGTAACTGTAACGAGAATTGGGGGTGAAAGAGTAATGGGTTTGCAACATGTCATCTTTACTTAAATGAGATAACCGGCATAACAGGTGATAACCGGTATCGAGAGTTTTGGTGAGCAGGATTATTAAGTTCAGTGGTATAATAAAGACAAAAAAAAAAAGATAAGAGACCAAATGAGTACTTATCTAACACTTTATCACCCTCAAAAGTTATTTTCCCAAAAATATAAGAGTAATTCACATTGTTTTTGGCCTTCACTAAGAATGTCTGACATAATAAGCTAAACTTATTCTTACATGTGATTTAAATGATATGGATCAAGAAGAAGCATCTATTGACTATTAGCAAATTAAATGTGTAGAAAAATTTGTACTTTACCCGTGTACATATTAATTATTAAAATATACTTTTAAATATAAATTATTATTAAAATATTTTCGAATCCAATCTAACACATTAATTATTAAAATATACTTTTAAATATAAATTATTATTCATAAAATAAAAAAGAAAATCATATATAAGAAATATGTAGGTACAAAAGCTGAGAGTTTGTTTAAAAAACTTATGCCACTGCCAGGACTTGAACCTGGGACTCTTGATTTAGAAGAGCCGAGTTTGCCACAGTCTTGAAAGGAATTCTGCTACAGCAACTTTTATGATATTCTTAGCCAGTTAGCCCCATATGTTTATTTATTAGTAAGCTTTAATTCGCCTACGAAAGCAAATACTTACATTTAGGCATGAATTGTGTTTCGTTTGTATTCATCTCGCGCCACCTACGCTTCCCCTTGTTGCGACAGCTCTCCTGTTCCCTTCTGACGCCTCTACTTTCTCGTTTATCTGTGTATTGATTATGTATTCTAATTATTGCAGTTGTATTATGTTTCCCTTATTTAAATGAGTCCGCATCTTTTATGTACTGAGGTTTCCGATGATAACTGTTAATTACAGTCTATTTTTTTTTTTTTAGATAGACAAAACTGCACAAATGATCCATATGGTTAGCTGAAAATTACCACTTTGATCCAAAAAGGTTTGGATTAGCACCGTAGGTCCAAACTTATTATTTTGTTGCGAGTTTGATTCAGTTTTCTATAAATTTTTTCATAATGACTAATTTACCCTTGGTACTTTCTTTTCCTATTTTGTTTATTTATTTAAATGTTTTTTCTGATTAAAAGAAAAATAAAAAAGAATCTCTCTCTCTCTCTCACACACACACACACACTTAATACTCAACAATCCAAACACCTCACCATCGATCAAAGCTGCTGCTTCCTCCCTTCGCCATCCCTATCTCCGTTCACCTCCTTTCTCGGTAACGAGCATCAGCACGACACACGACAGGCAGTTGGGAACACTGCCTACCACCACCATCTTAACCCACCTCCTCCTTCGAATACCATAACCCCTACATCACCGGTGTCGCCTCTCACTCTCTCCAATGGTTGTTCACAAACCGAAGAAGAGGAAGGAATAGGCAAAGCTGCCATCGCCACCTCCCGTTGCTGCTTTCGATCTGCTTCACCCTCCCATGTTCTTCCTGTTTTCTGTTGGATAAAAGAGAGACAGCCAAGATCAATGACTACTGTTGCTGTTTTTCTTCGATTGGGTCTTCGTCTTATCAAATTAAAACCGGGATCGTTGGCGATTTGAAACTACTTATCATGGATCTGGAAATTGGGTCTCGTCAAAATCATCAAGGGTAGGATCAATATGTTTATATGCTACAATTTGTTGATTTAGGGTTCTTCGAATACACCCATTTGAGTTTTTGTGTTGTTTTCTTCTTCTGATTTTTACAGAAATAGTCATGGAGGGCAGTTTTGAATTGGCGTCGGACTTCCCTCCACTGCCGGCTTTTTCTCTCTTCTCTTGGTAAACAATCAACGAACAGAAGGAGAGATGGCGGTAGTGTTGTAACCTCGATAGTAGCTCATCTGATTTAGAAACCCTAAAATGAAGACATCTCTGTTTGTTTCTTTATCTTCTGATCTATTTGATGGCTGGAGAGATGGCCGATGGTGTTTCCGGTGAAAATGATATGGTGGCCGGCGGTGTTATCCGGCAAGAATGGCAGGTGGGCGGCGATGTAATAATAGTGGGGAAGAAGAAAACGAGAGAGAGAGAGAGAGAGAGAGATTTATTTTTATTTTTATTTCTTGTTTTTTTTTCTGAAAAATATAAACAAATAATAAAAAAGAGAAAATCATATTAATAGGGGAAAATCCGTCATTTTGAAAAAATTCATAACAGATTGGATCAAAAATGCAACAAAATGAAAGTTTTGGACCACTGGTGCTAATCCAAACTTTTTTGAACCAAAGTGACAATTCTGAGCAAACCACAGGGACCATTTGTGCAGTTTAGTCTATTTTTAAAGACAATTACAAGAATAGACAAAATTGCAAAAATGGTCCCTGTGGTTGGCAAATTTATGTGCTTTTGGTCCAAAACAAAATGTTGGTGCACCACTGGTCCAATTTTAGATACATTGTGTGGTTTTGGTCCCTATGGTTGTATTTTCTTGTGTTTTTGGTCCACATCCCACCTAAAATGACTAATATGCCCCTTAAATAATTATATTTTAATTTCTTTTATTTATTTTCTTATTCTTATAATAAAATGAAAAACAAAAATAAAATAAACCCACCACTCACACACACACACACACACACACTCTCTCTCTCTCTCTCTCTCTCTCTCTCTCTCTCTCTCTCTCTCTCTCTCTATCTCTCTCTTTCTCTGATCCTCCCGATAAAAAAGAAACCCAACTCGTTCTTGAAGGTGTTCTCTACCGGATCAATATTGCAGGCTTCATCGCCCCATGCTTCTCCTTCGCACCACCAATAACCACCCTTCACATCTGTTTCTTCAACGACCATCGTCCCACCGTTACATTTGAACACCTGTAACAAAAACCCCAAATCTCCACAGTTTTTTGTTCTAAAGAAGAAGGAGACGAACATGAAGGGTCGGGGTTTGGAAGTTATCTCAAAATTTGAAGACAAAGAAGGTGATCGGAGAGGTTGGGTTTTTTCTTGCCCTATATCACCTTGGTTCACCCCACGTCTCTAGTTTTTCACAATTGATCGACACCTACCTCCCATTTCTTTTTCTTTGTTCTAAATAGAGACGTCAAGTCAAATTTATGGTGGTGATCGGTGGCTAATTTTGGAGGTGATTGGTGGTGATTTTCGTATGATCAAGAAAGGGGTGGAGGAGTGTTTATGGTGGTGATTGTTGGCTAATTTGGGAGGCTGTTGGATGCGCCGACACCATCGACCTCATATGTTCCCTTTAATCCACCTTCTTCCACATTGAATATTCGATAAGAAAATCAACATCAAGCCACATTCAACACTCACCTTCTTCTTTAAATCCATCAATTTTCTGATTTTTCGGGTCTTTGTGGATGGTGAGAAGTTAGCAGAGCTTGACCAAGCTTTTGGTTTGATTTTTCCGGCAACATCTGGGGGTGGTTTGGTGGTTGCTGGTGAAAGCTTATCAGGTTAAGGAAGGAGAGGTGGGGGTGGGGGAGATGGAGGTGGTTGGCGGCGAATGGTGTTGGGGAATGTAGATAGTGGCAAGAGAGAGATAAAGAAAGATTTTGGGTGTGTTCTTAAGCGAATGGTGGAGAACAACGATGGTTGCAGGCGGATGGTGGTGGTAAATGGCGATGATGGCAGACAAATGGTGGTGGTGAACGTCGTTGGTAGCAGATGGATCTTGGTGGTGAACGATGGTGGGATATGTTGGGAGTTCTTGAGAGGGTGGCATCTGGTGGGTATTCTTGAGAGAGAGAGAGAAGAGAGAGAGAGAGAGAGAGAGAGAGAGAGAGAGAGACTTTTTGTATCTTTAATTATTTAAAAACATTAAAAAAAAATAGAAAATACAAATCTAAAGGGCATAATAGTCATTTTAAGTGTATAGGGACCAAAAACACTAAAAATATCCAAAATTGGACCATTCATGCACCACCAAACTTTTTTGGACCAAAACTGCAGAATTTTGCCAACCACAGGGACCATTTTTGCAATTTTGTCACAAGAATATCATTTATTTTCAAAGACTTTAAATTTTGCATATAAACTTTGTTTACACTCCAAATTTGAATGTCGAAAATTCATATTTTTTAGCTCCAGCATAGGGAGTTCGCTGAAAAACATGAAACAAATCGCAACTTTGATATTTCAATAAATTTGATATAGGAACTCTGTTTGAGTTAATTAATTTTTTCATTGTGTTCTTATCAGTGTCAATCTTGGACATACGATGATTCCAAGGGGGTTTATTGGTAGGCTGTTTAAGGGGACAACATTTACATTGTGTCTTCCATATGATTGGTACAATGACTTTTCTGGGTTCTTAATATGCATTGTTACCATAGCAATGAATCCGCGTATAAATATAATCATCAGCCAGGAGGTAGATGAAGATAGTCTACTGGTGCTTTGGCAGGAGTCTAGTGAAGTATCAGATCCTAAATATACGGAAAGTGAGTCAATCATTGGATATGTTTCCTTTAGTTCACTGAGGCACACACCATTGTTGAATTCTTCGTACAATATGATATCATTTTCCATAGATGGAGGGCATCCGTGTGGTTTACCAACTGACAGTTATGCTGGATGTGAGCTCATTCCTTGGGGAAGTAAAGGCGGTGAGGTGAAAACAACAGATTGCTCAGAATTATTTTGGGACAAGGAATATGAAGATGGTTCAAACTTAACACATTTAAAATCCGACAACATTATTCAAAGTCTTCCGTTGAGATCTTATGGCAGCCTTGCGACATACGGGTCGATAGAATTAAAAGTCTAAAAGCAAAATCCTATTTAGCTTCGCAAAAATTCCGTAACAAATTAAAGATGAAATTCCGTAGCTAAAGGTTAATAACTACGGAATTCGTTAAACACATTTTCAATTAGACTCCGTAGCTATATTTCTTGTAGCAAAATTTTTAGCTACGGAATTATAATTCCATAGCAATTTTGCTATGTCTGTTACTACGACATCTATTTCCTTGCAATTTGAGTTCCATAGCACATTCGTAGCAAATTTCGTAGTAATTTTTCCGTAACCAATTCTGTAGCAAATTCCGTCGCGATTTTTCAGTAGCAAATGTCATAGCAATTTTTCCCTAACCAATACTATAGCAATGTTTCCGTAGCAAATTTCATAGTGATTTTTCCGTAACAAATTCCATAGCGATTTTTCCATAGCCAATTCCGTAGCAATTTTTCCATAGCCAATTTCGTAGTAATTTTTCCGTAACCAATTTCATAGCAATATTTTCATACCATTATTCAATAAAATCCATTTAATTCCGACTATTTATATCATTTTATAAAAATACAATTAATATAACACAAAAAGTAACGAACATGTTGAATTACAAACTTACACATTTCTAGAAAGCTTTGTTAAATCCTTTTTGTTAGGGTTCAGAACGTCTTCTTTATGTCTAAAGAAAAAGGCGAATCAGAAGATTAATAGTCATGAGAGAGAAACCTTAAGAAGCAAAAAACTAAGACTGCTGTACTAATACTCTAATATGCATAAATTCAAAAATATATTTACAGATTTTCTTCTACTTACCCAATATGATAGATAAGTTAAAAAAAAAACAATGAACTAAAAATCAGTAGAAGAACCATTTTAAACCATATGTGATATGTCCTAAGCTTTATTAATTTATCTTTATACATCCACTACATCATAACTGAATCCAACATATCATAATATAAAACGAACATTAAAAGTAATGGTGCGTGTTGGACCTGAGAACAATGTTTCATATTCTTTTTCAAATGGGATCCTTCTCCCTCTGGTAATTTCCTCTTCAAACCTGATCCTCCAGATTTAATAAAGCATGAGACTATCAGTCTATAACCTCAACAATAAAAACAAAACAAATTATTATTAAAATCAAATAATGGTAATACAAATTGTTACAAATTATGGGACAGCTATATTTTTTTTAACAGTCTATAACCTTCCTTTTCATAGCACAAAAGTTGCTGTCAGAAGTAGAAGGGGTAAGAATTTGATGAACAAGTATTTTAACAGGAAGATTTTCTGTTGTAATTGAAGCACGCAACCTTGATGACTCATTGATTTCCATCACCTTAAATAAATAAATAAAATATCTAAAATAATATAGGAAAATTCTATATGCCACCTCCCCTGTATTCTTTTTAAATAATGTAGGAAAATTCTATCACCTTAAATTCAGTGATGTTTAAGACTGAAGGCTGTAAACACCACCCCAACACATTTTGCCAGTGGCAAATCTCAATGGTGAATTGTGACAAAAATGGTAAAAATCCCATTTGTCAAAACAACTACCACACACCTTTTAGCCTTAATTAAGTAACCATGCATGTTAAACTAAGACTTTTCTAAACAAATTCAAATTTATTATATCATCAGTATAGATGCTCTTTGTGATAAATGTTCAAAAACTGACTTTAACCCTAAAAATAGGGCTTATAATTTAATGTTGTTTGACAAACTTCATTGTTTAGAAAATTTACCAGTACATGCAAGCGGGGTCCAAGTGTGTGAGTGGTTGTAAACAAGCCAACTGTTGAGACATGGCAGAGCACTGCTGTGTGTGCCCAATTTCAGGAAGAATGTGATGATTGAGAATATTGACCATGTTGACCATGAGTCAGCGATTGAATATGAAAGTGACCCTAGTGTGGAAGACTTTGCATATGTTGTTTTGATGATGTCTGCTGAT